TGTTGAAAATTTCAAATAAATTGTTTTCTTTCATTGCCTTCTTTAGTTCTGATTTGTGTATTCATACCATCAGCGAACAAACACATCAAACATATGTTGAATTTAAGTTCAAAAAACTTGATATAAACGCTGCTTGTCTGTCGTACACAATTTATCAGCGAGATTGTGTAACTCTATAAATCGGCAACAACAACAACAACAGCAACAACAACAATGACTATAACAAAGAAAAGTAAATACTCATTTAACATTTGCCAGAGGCTTGTTTGTTATGTTATGTTATGTTAGACGCAGGGTTAGTTTTTCTAATGAATAAAAAAAAAAAGCGAAAAAAACTCGAAACTATAGAGAAACGTTTAACTTCTTGGTATTAGAGTAAAAAGGAAAAGGTTCATGGGGAGGGTTTTTTTGTTCAAACACTCTTGCTGGGAAAAGCAAATAAACGAAAGTGAATGAAATAAATTAAACGAATTAAGCAAATCAACGGTTACAAAAATAAAAACAAAAAGCGTTATTGCACTTTAGGTTTCTTTTCGGGAAAAATAAATTATCAGAATACTAATGAGTACAAGGTCTGATGTCATAAAACTATTATCCTGGTGGGCCCTAACGACAGCACGAATTCCGTTTTTAATTTTTACTTTTTCTATAGTAATTGAAGGCTTAATTTATGCACATAAGCTTTAAGGAGTAATGTTTCAATTTACCTCTCTCTACGCGAAGAAGTTCCAGTACTTTATCAGCGATGACCATGACACGATTTCTATTATTGCTGCACTTACTATGTGGAGGTTACGCATTGCACTTCTATTCATTTCCAAGGATGGTATAAAGAATTTTAGCATATTTTCCTTTTACAGCTGCAAGGGAACAGCTGTTACGTTTCAATTCATCGCCTTAATGTTAAAAGGGATTTAAATGAAATATGTGTAAAATTTGCAATTTTTCTTCGCTGGTCTTTGATGAAATCGTGTCTATCGAAATGAAAGATGGTGAAGAAAAAAAATAAACAATAAGAATGTTTGTTAACTGGGTACACGAAATTCGTAAAAACTTTGTCGTCATGCTGATATCGAAGAGAGCAACAGTGTTAGTCAAGTTCCTGCGAAGTGTACACGACGTAAATTTTTGAAGTTTAAACAGACCGATTTCTGTATCAATCAATTTTTAATGTTGCGTGGATTGTGACTCTGCTTAATTCGACGGATAGAGCTGCTGCTGCTCGTGAACGATGATCAACAATGGGTGCGTAACTGTATTAAAAATATAAATAACGTTTGTACAGATTTGATGAACAATGAAACTCGACAACAAAGCTAGATGAATGTTGGTGGTGCTCCTATTTGATGGTATTAGTTGACAATAGTATAGAGTTAGGATTTGCTCAAACAACGAAACCAACATGCTGTAGGAACTGAAACCAAAAAACAACATGCTCACCATCATCTTAACGTAGCAAACATAGTTAAGAAGTGTTAGCTGCACGGAGAAAGGGAACATCAGTGTTTTGAATCAATGACTGAAGTTCGAGCATAGCTTCGCTCCTTATAGCGATACACAAAAATTGGTAATTTTACAGTTAGCATCGAAAACTCTTTGAAATCTAGCTGAAAAGTAGTTATTCATAATCCCAACAATAACTACATTTTTAAAGCTTTTACTTCGTCAGCTCAAAAACGAGAGACAACATGTTTTTGTCGATCCCAGAGAACTCTCCGAATATTTCAGTCCCTAAGATACGATTATCTGTAAATTTCTATAAAAAGGTCTCAAATTAAAGAGACCTAAGGAGGCAGACCACTATAACAGTTTAAAAAGAGAGTTTTTTTGTCGAAGTGGTTTCAGTAGAAAAAAAGGTAATGGAATAGCAATATTTCAGATGGTTATTAAGACTGTCATAAGCAAATTATTTTAGAAATATGTTAGGTGTTTGCGTTAACTTTGGTAGGCGACTTCTGCTGGTAAACGTTATAAAGAAAAGGGAGATACCGGTATACATAACGATTGAATTCGATCATTTTGCACCTTTCTCTACACAAAATAACAGTTCTGAATACAATATCTTTCATTTATTCAGAGTATTCCGACGCTAACTATGTAGCGCTCAAAATTGCATTTTCGACCTTGATTACTTTTGTTGTTTAATTTGAAGCAATCTGCTGGCGAAGACCACCAAACCCGCTCAGCAGCTTATGGTTATGTTAGTCCATCGAAATCCAATTGTCAATTTCGCTTTCAACGATTTAAAAGTGGTGATTTTCAGCGGTGTGAACGACAAAAAACAGCCTGTAGGACCACAAATGCTCCAAAACAATTAATGGCTAGTCTTATCAGACGAAAATCTATCTTAAACTCTAAAAGAAGTTTCGTAAAATTGATTGATTTTGCACAATTTTAGCAATTGATGAATCAATTGTTTCTAGACGTTTACATGCGATGGGAACAGTCCAAAAGGGGCAAAAATGGCTAGCTCGGAAATTGACTGACTACTTCGGCCCACCCTCATTTTATTTATGCATTAATAATCCCCACTCTTAAATCTTAATGTATATTGGTGATTTGAAATTGTTTTCTTCCTTCTCCTTGGCATCGCAATCATATCAGTTTCAAATTGACTTAAATTATTTTTTTTAAATGGTCCTCGCTAAATTTTATGAAATTAAATCTAAAAAAATACAACTTTCTTTCTCAGAGAGGAAGTCATTCAATACTGATTATTTCGCTGATTCACACAAGTTGGAATACCGTATATCGACTTTGGGGCTCTATTCGACCAAAGATTATGTTTTAATTTGCACGTTGGGCTCTATTTAAGTAAAGCTAGTAAAGGTTTCATTCAAAGGTGGTCCGAAGAACTTAACGATCCTTATATTACAAAAAGGCTGTACATGTGCTTACTTAGATCACCACTTGAGAATGCTTCTGTTGTGTAGTCTCCTTCCTGTAGGGTTATGTAGATTTGATTGAATCCGTTCAAATGCAATTCTTCCTCTTTGCCCTTGAGAATTTGGTTGGGATTAGTTTGTCCTTCTTCCTCCTTATGCAAATAGGTTACTCTTGTTATCCTTACCGTAACTTGAGAAACATAGATATATTCTTAATTAGGTTAATTAACGATACTGTCGATTCGCCCATATTACCTGGTAAGATAAGCTTTAATGTGCATAAACGCTTCTCTAGGCGCTCAATTTTCATGAAGATTAGCCAATGTAAATATAGGTATGAGTTGTTTAACCCGTTCAGAATTGGTTACTGAAACCTAAATGATCTCAATCACTTAATCTCAATATCGGCATCTTAAAGTCTCTCAAAACAACTACGCCTAATACGCGTGATTTGCCTATGTCGTATCTAAACTAACTTGCAATCTTAACATCTTACCATGATTCGGAAGTTAACTTGCGTTGTTTACCTTTATTGGTTGCCTAGCTTTTGCATGTTTGCAATGGCTTTGGGGTTCGCTTGGAACTTCGATCTGCACTGGTTGTGTAATTGTTTTTTTGCTTTTTTCGTTTCCTATTTATTTATACATGAATTATTATTTAATTAAAAGAGCTTAAAAAAGCTTGTCTGTCCGTCCGCCATCTGACATCTGTCCATTGATTATTGTGTTTAAGCTACAGGTCGCAATTTTGGAGATATTTTAATAAAATTTGGTCTATTGATACGTGCCGACCCAAGGACGGGGACTATCAAAAACGAATCGAATCGGCCTACTTTTTCGACCACACCACACGTAACGTGCTATTTTGAAAAGTCATTATATGGAAACAAAGTGCAATTTTCAAAATATCTCAACAAAAGCCGTTGAGTTATAGTATGCCGGTATTCTAGGTAGGTGCGGTCTGGGACAATTTTTTGAACACTTATCCATATAACCGTTCCTACGAAAACTGTATTTCGCTGTGCTAAACAGGTGTTCTTTTCAATATTTCATGGTGAAAATTGGTTCATAATAGTAAATTGAAAAAAGAAGTCAACATTACCGAACCCCACACCATAGAAGATGTCTCATCAATACTAAACTCTTCAGAAAAAGATTTAATTTTTAATACTTTCGACGAAAATTGGTCCACAGTAGCAAAAAAACCAACACAATTAACAGTAAAAAACTTGGATCACGTAGGTCTATTTACTGGCATATACAGAGGTAATCATGAAAAACAAGCCGTATAGGGATAAAAAGTCTAATTTCTAACGGAAAAATAATAAAATTTATGTTTAGAAAATTAAGTCTTCTAAATATTGATTACGTCATGTTATATTGCTTCAAATGTTAGGGCATCTTCCAAAATGCGAACTTTCATGTTGACCACAAGGATAGATGACAAACGGATGGACAGTCGCATGGACAAGGAAAACGAGAAGAAGCACTTTTAAATGCTTTGAGATATACCATAAGTTTGCACAAAGTTAATATGCTCTTGTATCGCGAATGTTGTAGGGAATAAAAATTCCGATTCAACACCATTCTCAAAATCATATGGTTCGAAAATACCGCACTTAAAACTTCGACTGAGAAAGATGTAAAAAAGAAACTGTTACTTACATCGTAAGATAATCGTCAATATTGTTTGGTGGTAATGAAAGTCGGGGGCTTTTCTTAAGACAATCGTTGCTGGCTTGCAGGAAGCTTTATTTAACAGGTCTTTGTTTAAACTATGGTTTTTGTTTAAACTACGAGTTATGGGTTTAAAAATTAAGAAAAATTTTTGCTCGAAGATTTATTATCGATCTTAACCTTAAGTAATGTTATTTTACATCCTATGACAGAGAAATTATTAAATAATCTTCATTTTCCTTTTCTCTTCCAGATTACCAAATATGAAGAATGTTCGATATTTGCCGACAATGCCAAGCAAACGAAATCAAAAGAAAAAAGCGTTTGGAAAGAAAATTCAAATACTGTTTCAAATAATTTTTTAAGCAATTTAATTTGAAATCGTTTATTTTTTGGTTTTTTTTTTTTTTGCTTCGCTTAACCTTTACTTTGCTTTATAAGCAAATTTTTGTTTTAAAGTTTTATACTCAACGTTTAAAAGATCGAAAAAATTAAACAAATGTGGAAAATGTTTGACGATATGATAGAATGTAATGAGTGTGGAGGTCCTTTGGGACCACCTCCGAAATTTACGATACCACCACCACCAAGGCCGCCTGCCATATCGGATTATACACCGTCGAACGCTCATAATTGCAACGAAGAAGAAATGGCTTTGAAAGCGCAACAAGCCTGGGACAACGATATGTGCGAAGCTATACCGGTAAGCGTATAAATGCGTATATCTTTGAGGGTTGTTTTCTCTGCTTTATTAGGTTATAAAAGCAAAAAAAAAAAAAAATAACACACTAGGCAACTAAAGGGGTGTTGTTTTAATATTACCTTAGGGGCTTTTATTGTAAGTGTAAAAACTACTACTTTTCATTAGTTTTATTGTTCAAAGAAATTGTTATGAAAATTATGAATTGGGTAGTATTCATACTTAAGTGTATACTATACACACAGGCGTTTACTTTCATCGGTAACTTTCACATCTGTTGTCATATTTTAGCTAATGTCAACTGTCATAATTTTTCTTTCGTTTTTCTTTTTTTTCCTTTTTTTCTTTTTTTGCGTTTTTATAGTCAAAATTATTGATGAATTGAGTTTTTCTTATAAAAGTTTATTGATGTAACTGTCATTATGATTTAATAGAATTTGAAAAATTAACTTAAAAACTTCTTTAAATTACACGAAGTGTAATGGAAAGGTAAATAAATATATGCTATGACATCTGTCAATTTAATGCTGTTGTCATTTGTCATAATAATTTTTTGTGAAAAAAACAACTTTTCTTAGCTCAGACGTCAAAAACTTTTTCTCTAACAAACAATTGGGAAAAAACTTTTGATCAATAGCCAAATGAACATAGATTTACTATAGCAATAATAAGCAATATGAAGAAAAGGAAGAAGAAAAAGGAGTGTAAGATGAAAAGCAAAAAGGCGACTGTCAACAGCTGTTACTGTCAATATAAAAAATAAGGCAACAAATTGCTAAAACTCAGCAATGATTTTTTGCTTTTGGTAAACACTAAAGAAATTCTTTAGGAGACAAGTGAAGAATGTTTGTGCGCTCTCTTGTTAATTGTACGAAAGTCTGTTGTTCGATCAAAATAAATTCTATAAGAAATTTTTAAACTGCTTTCCTATTCTCATATTCAGATTTTTTTGTTAACTTTTCACTAATGTGTTGGGTAATGCATGCGAATCAAAGGAGTATTTCTACCTCTTGTCGGTAGACATCAAATAAGACAATACATATGTTCGCTTAGAGAGGGCTCATGGAAGTATGTAAATACCATTGACATCCCTAACTCGAGGTTTACGTAAGTTTTGCATGCAACTATTTTTATGAAATTCAGTCCATTTGGCGGGTGAACTTTGTGAATAGTGACAGTTGCAAAGCTGAAGACAGCAAGCTGAAATTTTTTGAAAATTTTTAGGCATAACTTTTGGCTCCGAGTATGTTTTTCTGAAACATTGCTACCCAAATGTTCGCTTGCACATTCGTTGCAAAAATAATCCCGATCAATTAGCAGTGCGTCCACACTTAATAACAAGATTCTAATAACAAGATTCCAATTTCAAACAATCCACCCGAAAAGCTAAACCTCGATGAATAAATATACTGAGTCAACATTAACATAATTAATATCGAAAATTTTCTTCATTAGAAATCATTCCGGTCATTAAGAGCTTCAGCTATTGCATCCAATTTGAAATCTTTTAGATCAATATTTAGTTTGCTACTTCCTCAACAACTTTTCGAGTAATATAGAATTTTTCGATCACTTTTTAGGCTATTTTAGTTTGTCTTAGCTCGGCTCACCCTATTCCAGCTTACTTTTGCTTTTCTTTTCTTTTCTCTCCTTCTCTGAATCCGAAATCTTAAAGACAATTGTACTTATTTATTAATAGGCCTAATGGTTGACTGTCCGCTTTTCATGTTGATTTTCTTACGAAGAGACAGTAGTCGAAAAAATTTTCATCAAAAACTCGAGCACTGGTCAGAAAATTAGAAAGTCAAGGAAGGAACCGAGTTGAAACAGGATTTGATACTTTAATATGATAAGCGGTTAAGCAAAGGTACTGCTGAGCAGCTCACTTAATAGCATCACGAATATGTGAGTGTGTGCAAAAACGCTAACGACACCGCCAACTATAAACTAACCTTAAGACGAGAAAAGTGCTGTAAAGAAGCAAACGCAAAAAAAACAATAATGTTGACCAAGTTGGGAGATTTTTTTAAGCAATGTTTACAGATGAAAAAAATTGAGCTTTATTAATAATCGACTCGGGTTATATGCGAACTTGTGCCTTCTTTAAATAAACTTTTTTATCGGAACAAGGAAGTCCAGATTTATGTTTACACGGCAGAGTGCCTCAAATCGTTATTGTATCGAAAAAATACAATTAAAGGAAAAAAGATTAATATTTACTTTTGCTTTACAGTCTTACATATTCTTTAAATATTCTTTTACCACAAAATATGATATTTGTTTTCTTTTTTCTTTTATTCGGTTCGAATTGCATTTCTTGTAAATGCTCACATGCCTGCATTATTACAATTGCATGTACGAGTTTATGTGTTCTTCTGAATACATACATCATCCCGACTATGATATTTTCCACACGACAGATATTTTTACACACACGTCTTAGCATTTGAAATACATATTTCTGCACATACATACTCATGCATACTCATATGCCTTCCTCACTTAAAGATGTGCTCTACAGTTTAGCATTATTTCCAAGAAACTTTTTTTATTTTTTTCTATTTCGATTGCAAAGTAAAAGTAAAAAAAAAAATAGCTAAGAAATCCTATAACAAATAAACGCAAAAATGTGAATCGAATTGTGTATCTATGTGTGAGCGTAGCAGAAGAACGAAAATGACGTGACAATAGCAAATTGAATATAAATTTTTTTTCGTCTTCTCTTCGAAGAAGAATTTTCTATCAGAGACGATGTAAGACGAAGAATAAAAAAGATAAATTTTGATATGTCTCCCTTTCAAAAACAGATTAAAGTTTTTAAGTTAGAATATTAAAGCTTTAAAAGCATTTTCCCTGAAAATAAAATTTTTAGATGAGAGACAAACAAGTTTTCAAAAACTTAGGAGAAGAGCGTATATATATGAGATAACGAGATAACTTTCTCGCAGTGAATCAGACAGACTCAAAGGGCTAACCTCGAAAAGTGAAAAAAATTAAAACTTTATGACTTGTAACTCTGTGTGGTCGTAGGCGATTTTCTCCATAAAATAAATTCAGAAAATTTCAGCCTTCTTTCTTGTATAATTTATGAATAATTAGCAAATTAGAGTTGCTTTCAGTTTTTGCTTTACTGTAGGCGAGCCCCTAGCGATTTCTTGACCGGTATCTCAATTCTTGCGACTAGGGACAACGACATACATCACCCAGACACACTGACTTTACTTGTCAAAGATTCTATTACTTTTGTCATAGCAAACCACAAATTAGACTTTGTCGCCACAAAAAGGCTTACTTTCATCAGAGGCCCGTTAAAAGACGGTGTCAAAGATAGACCTATATAATCCACACTCTCTATGGTTGATTTACTGAGGACAAATTTTCATCATAAATGACTAAATAATAAACTTTTTGGTATATAAAGGCTAGTTTTTATGAGGTTTGGATGCAGAAGATAAACCTACGTAGTCCGAGTTAATTTTCATGTCAAATTATTATTATGAACGAACGTCCATCAAAAAATATTGAAATTTGCGCCTTTTTACAATGTAAAAACTCAGTTTCCGTAGAAGCGGCTTCAGAGCTAGGAGTTCAAACAATTACCCTACCCGATCCAAAGTTTTTTCACCATTTAATATGGAATTCCGAAATATTTCAAAAAAAATTCCTTAAACATTCTTATTCTAAATTTTAATCAGGTGCGAGTTTTATGCGGCCACCTTAGATGTTAACCAACAAAGACGTCTCTCATAGCGAAAACAGTTTCTTGCTTTTAGTGTTCTTTCCCTTTTCTTTACATTGACTTCGTTAGCAGTTATCTTAGCTTTACCTTTATATTCTGGTTATTTAGCATATTTTCTCTTTTAATATTAAATATTAAGACAACTTGTGAAGAAGCACTTGCAGAAAAATGTACAAGGAAAAGAAAAAACAATTCACTTCATTTACGGCACTTAATTTTCTCAGTTTCTCTGGAGCGGTTTAAATTTTCCTTTGCTTGATTATGAAATGAAATAAAACAAAACTACAACCGCACAATAAATATATTTTGCACATTTATCCTAGTTGTCCTACTACGTCTGACTGCCGCACTTTTTATTTGACCAGCAACTAAACCCTGTTTAAGTGAAAGGCCAAAGAGAACAAAAACTAAGCAAAATTTTTTCCGAGAGTTATAAACATAAAAACTTGATTGTAGCATAAAGAAACACATCTACATTTAATAACTTTAAAAGAAGAAAAAAAAAAAAAAAGAAGAAGAAGAAGAAAAAAAAAAGTAATAAACTGTAAGTTTTCCGGAATAGTAAGAGAACCTAAAACTTCCCTAACAAATGCAAAATTAATAACAATTTCTGAAAGAAACGCAGAGAACAATAAAACAAGCATAAATAAATAAACAAATTTCAGAAAATTATTTTACTCGGCTGTATTTCATGCTTAAAGTTTTTCAGTTACTACAAAAGATATCAACTCGTTTAAACGGTTTGCCAAGACCGCCATCTTAAAAAACCAGCAAATTAATAAATGTAAAATATTTATTTCAGATAATAATAAATTTTATTAACTCTATGACAGTTTTGCACAAACGAAAGCTAGTTAGGTGATTTGGATGGACGCTTTTTTGATTCGCTGCCTACAAGAATCAAGGTAACGTCGCAAAACGAATGACAAGCAGCGAGCGAGAATATAGGCGAAAAGCGCATTAATCACTCTTGGGGAGATAACAAAATAGTGGGAAAACTGTTGTCGAGGAAATGAGTCGGGCCGTTATACTCAAGGAGGAAACATAGTTATCAGGAAGTACCTACTAATGTGTGGTAGAGGAAAGGACGTAATGATCGGGCAGTAGCTAGAACGATATTTTTATATTCGAAACATGTTCAGAGATTACACTCGAGGTGCCAAATCGATTGTTGGTGCTTTAATAAGATATCCTAAAGGCAGCTGTTAAGGTGAAAAGACGCGAGAAGAAGACGTAATAGTCGAAAAATAAGCATTTAAGGCGGGAAGTCTATTAGCATTGCCCGAGAAAGTAGGGCAACTATCGAAAAGTAGTCGTAGGGCACGAAATGATGTAACTGTTATCGAACTTGTAGCCTAGATGAGAACTCGCGTAAATATTCTCCAAGAGCTTACATAGTCCGCATTAATACCCGAGTTAATAAGCACCAAACCTGTGTTTACGCCTTCAAATCCCTGACCGATTAAGCATACGTCCGTGCCACTCTCTATCTCTTTCTCTTCCGTTCTCCTGGATGATTGCCCATATCAAAAAAAAAAAAGTACACGAGATGGATGCATGATTAAAAGGTCAAACCTTCGTAGTTGTGGTAAGAAATTGAGTATTTATCCTTGACGAGTCTGCTTCATGCGAACCGGCTTGAGAAGGCAAGTTTTCACAGCCTCGAGGTAAAATAGTAATTGAAAAGCTTTTCTTCAAGAAAAATAATCGAATTGTCGGGTCAAAATGGTAACAAGCCCCCGGGATAGGGCGAAATAATTGGCAGGTTCAGTTGGCAGAGCCGCTAACATCAAATTAGTAAAGAATAGAGCACAGCAAGTACAGTTAATGAGCGCACCTGTAAAGGAATATATGTACTAAACATAATGGTTATAAAACTTGGATAAAGTGCTTACAGTTCATAAAAAAGAAAGAAAAAAAAAATGTTGTAACGGTATGTTTGTCAGTTTTGATATTTTTCATTAGCTTTCGATTTGCTAATTTTGTCTTTCAATAAAAACTCTTCTTCAATCACTTTAGCGAGACCGCGGCATGCTCTTATAAAGCTAACATATAAATTTAGACTTGTGTTAGTCGTACCTAGTGACAATTTTCTAGGGAAAAAAATTTCTAAAAAATTTTATAACGCGTGTCATAAATCAAATCAAGTTAAATTAAGTATAAAATGAAGAAAAATGAAGGATTGCTTCTCTTCAGTAGAAAATGACACCACCAGGTTTGATTTGTATAACAAATCCGTTGGGAACAATTTTATTAAGTTTCAGTAATATTTATACTTTATTGTTTTCCTATTGATATGATATCGGCAATAATGCTTGTTAAACAATAATATCATAGAGTGCTACGTAAATGACAATTTATTATTTATTAGTTTTGAACAGTGGTCCAGTACGGCATAATATAGATAACGCATAACATTTCTTATGTAAATAAGCCTAAGGAAGAAACTAAGTACGCTATGCGTATGTGATAAAATAAAGCTGATATCTGTTGATTAGATAAAAATAAATCAATAAAAATTTGTGACTGTTTTCCGCTCTGCTAGTTATTTAGTTACGCAATGGTCGTAAATCATTTAAGAATAAATGGAATAGTTAGCAGCTGACAAGAATTACAAGATGTTGCGGATAAGGAGAGAGTGCGAACTACAAAGGCGAATACAAAGAACTTGTAACTTCTTAGTGTATCGCATGGGCATTCAAAATAATCAACATAAGCATTGACTTTTACCATATCGTACTTAGAATTATGAAGCGTTCCAGCAAGACAATGAATTTGTTTACCTTAGTTGCTTTCTATAGCTTGGTTGTCGGTGATTTCATTTAGCAAATTGTACCTAAGAGTTTGCTTCTCAGCAATTCATTTCGATGATTTCAAAGGCGCTTTCTAAAAAGGGAGAACTGTGGTCGCTCAATCCTTCGATGTAAATTTCTTCTTCTTCATTTATGTCAGTAAGAAAGCGATTAAATCTGGGAAACAGTAGGAGACCAGGAGGTGTATGCTATGTCCCACTTTTATTAAATTTTTTTTATTTATTTAATTTATTAAAAAAGTGATTAATTGTTAAAAAAAAACTGTAAATATGATGAACGACTTTCAAAATCTAGACCAAAGATAAGCTTAGAGTAACGACATACAATCAAGCACGTATGCCGCACAGATTGCCGTTTGTCAATGTTCTGCTTTACAAATGAAAATCAAATCGCGTCAGAGACAACGGGGTATGCTCTCTATTAAATAGCTGCCAATGATTTTTTGATTACGTGCATTAATCAAACGAAATTAAACGATTTTATTTTTGGTGACTTGTTAAAAGGTTGTTGTTCGTAGAATGTACCCAATACTAAAAGTATATTAGATTTATCGAAGGTTTTGAAACTTCAAACAGCAAACATAGAGAGCTCGAGAAAGTCTCAAGCCTTCGAATTAGTACACATGAATAATATATTTATATGAAACTATGAACATACGAGGAGGAAGATACACAAAATTTTTAAACTAAAAAGAATGGACCATCAAATAGCATTCAATTGCTATTTTGAAGTTCAGTAAACGCTCGCAACATTTCTTCTCCACGCAATCTATTGAAACTAAGAAGATATTGCAGGCGACTAACGCCCTTAAAAGAGAAAAGCGAATTTAAATCCATTTCTAGTAGATTCGAATTCGTTTTTTTCTATTAATAAAATGCCGGCCGTATATTTATTACAAATATCTATTCCTGCGTGAAACATAAAAAGCAGGCAGGTTGTAACGATTAACAAGGACGAGTGAATCCAAGTGGAAAGACGTTTCGTATAAGCTAACGAAATTCAAATCTTTCTTTCCCGGGTTATGTTTAATAATTTTTTGAAGTTGAGTGTGTTAGCAAAAAAGGCTGTAGAAGAATACTTTAAGATCAACATTATTTTTTGTTTTGCCGTATTCATTGGCTCCCTCCTCGCCTTCCTCCGTGCCGCCCACACAAGTCGGGAGAAGTGTGGGGAAAGTCAAAGAACCATATATTGATCTTAACTATTTAACACAGTACCGTTAGGGTTTTTAAAAAGCTCGGTTAGTGTCTTTGTTAGTTAAATTCGAATTTATCTTCACATCCTCCTCGAAAGATGGAAGTGACGGGTAAGAGAGGGTTGAGCCACAGCCCTGGCGTAATTGCCTTGCCTTTTTTTTTATTTTAATATAAGCATTTTCGGCTAATTTTAATGCAGCCATATTCAGATTCTTTGCCTATTGTTCACACTTAGTTTTCACCCAAACCCCAAACGTCTGGCAGATTTTAGCGGCACTTGTTGAATGGCCCACCAGGGAAATAGCGAAATGGTATGTACGCAACGATCTATTTATGGAAAATCGATGCCATGATATTTTTCTATTCACCGTTACACAGTAGTAAACAAAATAGGCTAGATTTACGGTTTTGTTTTGTTTATTGCATGCAATCCCACCAATAGCATGATTATATTTACGTTGGTTAGAAAATAGATTTAAGCAGCACTGTGTGGAAAGCTTCCGTCTCAAACTCTATGATTTATTTGTTATGTTTAATACCAAGTGTATTTTAAAAAACGTTTAGATCTCCATCTATCGTACATGTATATGGTCGGTAAGTTTTGAAAACAGCACCAGCACACTTCAGCATAAAATTATTTCGCTGCTGACCTCTAGGGTTAGGAATATCTTTAAAGATCAAAAATAATTTCTCTTTAGTTTTAAAAAACTATTCATAGATGAAACTATTCATGAAGCTTTGACTACCATTCACTTGTTTATGATAGTTCACAGGATATTTAAAAATTATGTTTTTTTGCTTGGTTTTAATTTTAGTTATTTATTTATTTTTTTTATGAAGACATTTGAGTTTTTATTAATTTTGTTTATTATATGTCTTTTCAGATACTCGATGCTAGTCTTTACAGCAGTCAATCACTGCAAACATCAGCGATGATAGCTGTATTCTCTTTACTATTAATTTTGGTTGTATTGATCTCATCACTGTTCGTGTGGAAGTAAGTACACATTCATCATATTTTATTTATACACAAATTTATGTTGATATCACATAACTGTCATAATATGTGAACAGACCACAAAACATCTGCTTTTTCCAGTTTCTTTTTTATTATAATATATTTTTTTAAGTAAACAAAATATTGAAGAAGGAAACAAGCTTTTTACGACTGCAAAAGCACAAAAAAAAAAAAAAAATTGTTTCAGTTCATGTTAAACAAATAATGCCGTAGACATTTCATGGTAAATGCGAAGGGAATTCAAACAACATTTAAATTACATACGTTATATGTATCGATTTTTGTTCAGGTGCTTTTTCTTTAAAATCCCTCAAAACACAATGGTCTCTGCAGACCTAAATAATTCTTTATTCATGTTTCAAATATTTGCAAAGCTCTTCTTGTTTAGTGTAACATTTACTCAATACGATTCTCAACAAGAATAAGAGCAGTGAACTATGCCTCCCACCGCCAACCAACCATGTGTAAGTCAAAAGTTATGTTGTAAAAATTCCATAGACTTTTAAAATTCCCTACCTGTGATCGAGTTTTTGGTTTGAATTATTTTATGGTCTCGAATGTTCACTTAGGTAAGGATCTTCTCTTTGAATCTAAGAGCGAAATCAATTTAGTAGAACTGTGTACTTTAACGTCTTCGTCTATGATCCCCAAAGGTAACAAAAATACGCTTTTGTAGAACTGACAAAGTAATAACTTCTCCAATATCTTCTCCGACACAGAAAGTGGTGCTCCTAAAAGAGGTAACTGGAATAGTTGCGTTACGAAGGTAAACAAAACAGTTTGTATCTTCTTTTGTTCTACATGTCGCGGTATTGAAAAGTTGTCACATACACAATAGCGGTCAGGAAAAATTATAAGTAGAGAAGGGGAAAAAAGGGAGTGATAGTTGTGCACGTTAAACCTGAAAACGTGAAAATCTGTCTCTGATGTTTAAGATCTAATAAGTACCTTAATGCGATAGGCCGTCGAAACATTTGAATATAAGTACATAAGGTTATAGTAAGTCGCTAGTAAGCTTGCTGAATAATTGGAAAACTGTATTTGGTGAGGCATCTCCTAAGTGATTTTATTTTCTCAAACTCTTGTACGTAGAAAGCAAATATGTGGTTTTTAAGACTACCTTGGTCGTATAAGCGTCAACAAGTCCAAGCTGCATTTTTTAATGCAAAGAAAGCAATAATTTGCGTGTCTACCTCGGTACCGTTCACAAAAATGTTTTTAACACTTAATCTTTCAAACTTCAGAAGAGCAGAGAATGGTAAGAGGAATGAATGAAGTGGATGTTTAAGCAGCGACTGAGCTGTACAAAGTTTAGAGCCTTTAGAGCTTTTCGCTGTGAGAACAAAATTGTGGGCAGCCAATACTTTAGGTAATACTTTAAATTAAAATATCACTCAGGTAATTGCTATTCGTGAAATGTATAAAAACATATTTTTGCTAAAATATTAAAAAATACTAAAATTCCTCACTCCTGTGCGTGTAATAGTCCGTCTGATTTCTATGCTGTATGGCGTCCAAGTTTTCCGAATAAACGCAATGCTGATGGTTTTTATCTCTCAAATGTATTACAATATTTTCTTCCGGTACTAAATATTTAGTGCAAGGACATCGGGGTAAGCACCGTTTTAATGTTCGACTACCGTTCTAATATTCGACCACAGCAAGGGATGACAAATGCAAGCTGCAAGCGAGGAAACTATTGAATTTGGAATTATGTGAGAGTATGAAATTTGAATTATGTTATTGATTGACTATCGCTGCGTATTGTTAATATATCGCTCTTATTTAAATTTTTTTAAAAGTAAATAAAATAAAATATTACAGTGTTTAAGAATAGGTTGAACTCAAACAAAAATCACACACTCTCTCTCGCTTTCAACAATAATTTTTCTCTATATGCATAGTAAAAACTCTCACGTTTTTTACTATACGCCTGTAAACCCACCGTAATCATATAACATGAATTTAATGGAATTTATTCCAAAAAAATACATATATATATATATATATATATATATATGTATATATATGTATATATGTGTATGCACATATATATCATGAAGTTATGGCCTAGTTTTCGGTGCTTAAACTTTAACATTGTTCAGATTTTAAAAAATTACATGCATTTTAAATACATTTTTTGCATTATCTTTTTTTCTCACCTCTCGCTAGAAAATGTATGTTAAATTAATTACGGCGTTTGTAGTCGTCAAAGTGTGTAAACCTAAAGGCATTCATCGGAAACTCTTAATGGTATGCGTATATATTGAATTATTATTATCATTTTAATCTTTACATGTAATGTGGCGGTTACATTATCCTTTCCTCGCACGCGCTTAAACTCCTCTAGCTATTGATTTGTACAGCCGTATGTTCGTTCCTCTTCGTATGTATTCTCCTAAGCATTAGTTTGCTAATCAGCTCGTCATCGTTCCGTTTTCGGTGAACGCTTGAGTACTCATATTTTGATTTTTCTTCACCGATCCATTTTACTGTTCTCCCTGGCATTTGTTCGTTCTGTCACTTGCTGTTTGGGAGTTCCAAGAATTGTATAAAAACCTGAATTAACCTACTTTGAATTGCTTCTCTTTGCAATGCTTTTATAATCGGATCGCTAATCTTCTTTCCCTTGATATTATAACATGTCGCCACGTTTACTGTTATTTTTTTCAACTTTAAATTTATCGAAATTTGTTCATCATGGAATGTTTGCTGGTTACTCAAAGTCTCCTCATTCAGCTGAGGTAACTTTGCATAGATTAGGCTTTGCATCCCAATCCAAGTTTCGATTACCATAAAATGTAATATTAGCAACACGCGAATCTGCAGGGAATTAGATCAGCCAATTGAAGTTGTAGGTATAACGTTGCTGATAAAATGTTATTGATAAGGAACATTTTTCTAAAATCAGTTTTCGGATATCTTCCTCGAAATTACAATCAGACAAAGGATGAGAAGAACGAATTATTGAAAATATAGTGCGATGAAGAAAGCTGTCATCTCCATTATCTTTAATTGTTTTTGTTTGCTGCTGCTCAATAAACGCATGGAAAATATTGCATGTTCGCAACTTTTTATGCAAATATAATGAAATGTTCTATGGACACAACCTAGTTTCTAGTAATATTTGAATTTGAATTTCATTGTTTATTTTTTCTGTGAATCGTAATAAAAAATTTATTATTAAGTTTTAAAAGATTAATTCCAATTTTTTTATTTATTTTTCATGATAACCGCAGGTCTGTTTTTTCTTTTTTTGGGATTAAAACGAAAAAAAATAAAAATACAATGGCTTTATATGACTTTACGTGACTTTGCGGTATGATTTTCATGTTGTATGCACATATTACACATAATATATTATATATGTATATTGCAATAAATTTTTAAAATTTTTCAAACAACATTTAATGTAACTGTAGGTTCTCTACTTTTGCAAAAAAGGAAAACAATCCTAAACAAACATTTATTATTTAAAAAAACAAGAAAGATACTTTGTACCAGCTTTCGACCGAATTTTGGATATCCGTCACAAAGATTATGGCTACGAGTATGGCTACTAGTCCGGAATAAATGTGAGATCGTATCTATTGTCATGTTCAATTTGTCCCATATGATTTTAAATAAGGAAAGCCATTAACAACTATTTTATAGCAAAGGTCGAGAAAACGAGACCGTTTCAATTTATATAGACACTTAAAGTATATTACAAAATATGAAGTAATCTAAGGTGTTTTCATGCGGACATCCGGAAATCTATTTCTAAGCGAGACTCTTGATCAACTGTTAGGAATATATGCGGTAATTTGTAATTTTTCATCCATATCTTTGGGACTATCTGGAACAACGTTCTAGGCTTGGCGGGGTGGAGCTTACTCGAAAAACTTGTGACGAAGAAGCATGTGCAGAGCTTAGTAGGTTTTGTCGTCGTTTTCAAGAGGCTACCACCCAAATGCATTCAGCAATGGGCTTAAAAAAGCAAACTATGTCCTGCTTAGCACTAATAATATTTGTACATGATTAAGTGTCAGCAGACGCTACTGGTTAGCTGACCGACAAAAATCAAAACACAAGCAGATGTACGCAGCCCGGTGAACTACAAAGCCTAGCCTTTGTTTTATCAAGTTATTCAAGTATGCTTCCAAATGTTACATATGAAAGGCAAAGTTAATTTTCTCTCTTTTAATCCTTGTGTACCGGCACAAGGATCCTCTTCGCTTTGCTCAAAAAACACAATAGACTTTCGTTATCTGTCATTGTATAAAATTTTTTATTAAAATGCTGTTCGTGTTTTTTTTTTTTTTTTTTTTTCTGTAAAAGATGCCAAACAAAATATAACAAAGACTGAAAAAAAAAAGACCTACCACATGCACCGAGCAAAACAGAAGAGAATATAAAACAAGCACGAAAGTTATGTGCGACTGCAGACGAATTTTGTTCTCGCATCACCCCTGCAATAAAAATTTTTTTTTTTTGGTTGATCGGAATAAACCTAGAAGTCCTAAGGAGTCTTTGCCCTAAGTCTAAGAAGCAATTGCATCCATACCTTCTATTAATAACAATTTATTAAGGATATCATTTAAGAACTTTTAGTTTTATCAACTTTTGACCATTGCGCACATTTCAGCTAAGGAGATAAATGCCAAGTGTTAAGATTGCCCATTGATTTTTATGAGGTAGGATGTTTAACGAGTTAGGAAGGAAGGAAGGATAAAAAAGAAAAAAAAACTCAAGACAGTAAAGATTGATGGTTGGAAGTTAAATTACAAATCTATTTTAACCATGTTAAAGCTTGTTCAAATCATGAAAAAATTATGTATTACATTATATTTATGTCCACAAATCGTGTTAAGTCAAGACGATCACCAAACAACAACTAAAATAGGGAAATGTAAGTACTTTACACGATCTCTGACGCATATAACTGAAGTGAAAAATGAAATAAAATCTCATATCTCGGTGCTTCGATATAATGTACT